TCTGGGCAAACCTTATATACCTGGGTACCCACAGCGAGGAGGAGGTGGTCTTTGGGACTCTTTACAGGGCAGCTGTCACTCACCTTGAAAGTGAATAGTCAATGTCATTATATATGTCCCTATATTATGACACTATCTGCAGAAACAAAGGCTACCAGTCCCCCCCCTCCACCTCCACCACACCCCATCCATAAAAAGCAGTGGTCAGTCATGTTTAAAACACATTGGTGTTGTTGTTTCTTTTTTTTTGAGACGCATATTACTTGTTGATAGCTGTAATATACCAACTAATAGCTGTGACATGCACTGTAATGTTTTGGCACACAAAATGGTCACAAACCACATCAGCCAGCATAGCTTTGTTTAATTTTGTTATTTTAAAAGGTGTTCATATTATTTTTGGCTACTCACCTGTGGCAGGCCTGATCTCTTTAACACGTCAGTGAGTGTGGCCAACACTTGCCGGTAGTGGGAGGAGTCATGGGCTTTCATCTGCAAGTAAACGTTGCAGTCGTTGCCCAGCCTTTTCAGACATCTCTCCTCATGCTGGCTAAGTTTTTCACCTGCAGTCACATGGGCAGCAAAGCGGTATAGAAGGTGGCGGAAGTGGTAGCTGTCTTTAATAGCCTGGCTGGGTACGAGAGCTTTGTATGTTCCTCCTCCGATTGTTGCTCCCAACAGGCTCAATCCCATTTGATTTAAGATATTGTTTCCTGAAAGACATTAAAGCAAATCTGACTTAAAATACTCTGGTGTGCTGTTGGAGATGTCACACTAATCAGAAGTTTGTTTATTTGGATGATACTGTGTGTGCTGTCAGACCACTGTACTTGTAGAATAAAAGAGCTCTATGATCGTGTATTTTTATGGGTAAATGTGGTTTGTAGTGTAGAAGGATTTTGAGCAGTTTCTGGGCTGATATATGTAAGTTATAAAAACACTACTAGCAAACTGGGTCCCAAATTCTTTTTAACAATTTATATAAAACTCATAGATGGCAGACAAATTGGTGTCCCCGTGTCCTAAAAATGAAGACTAAAGATTGTATTGAAACAGGAGTATTACAGTGTTCAGCTTTCCTGCCAAAGTTTATTCAATTTTGAAGAGAAGCCTCTAACGGTTGCATGTGAAAAAATTACTTTTTTTCAATGCACACTCCATTTTGACTGTGGAACAGCTCGTTACCCTTCTGGACTGATCCTTGGACAT